CCGGCTTATCCAAGTCCTCCCAACTATTCTTTTCCCCCAGCAGATCTCTCCGGTGTCGATTGAAGCGTGGGCAATTGAAGACAATGTGCTCTCCTGTCTCAGTGGGATGTGACTCCGCTTTGCCGATGTGGTGTAGCCAGCTCCTTTGTGGGCCTCTGTTCGTTTGCATCCATGTGTAGGTTGAGAGGAACGGCCCGCATGTACATGATTTAGAGCTAGCACGGCTCAGGGGTTGGACGCCTGGGATACCCGCTCTCGTCATATGCTAGATAGTATAATTACGAGTACCTCCCCTCCAAAAAAAATAAACAATAATAATACTAGTTAACTACTAAAAGCAATGTACACTTTGTTTCATCATACACAATTAGAAAAAAAACTAGAAAAAAAAAGACTAGACGCATGAAAAATAAAAGGTTGGAAGCAACCTCAGGGTAACGAAAACTCTCCTATTCCACACCTATCATACTTATCCACGAACACAACACATAAGTTTTTACCACTAAACTTTTGACGTTGACACCGCCATCAAACCTAAATAACATTAACGTTTCGCGCAACGTTTCAGACATGCATGGCGCCAATCACAAAATCGCTCATATGAAATATAATACGCTCGATGTCTCCACCACCCTTAGGTGTTTAAGCTAATCAGCGCCACTAGCGAAAAAAAAAAGGAATAATCTTGTGACCATCCACTGACCCACCCGCCCCACCCAATGACCAACCAAGTCCCACTCAATGACCAACCAATAACAAGCAAGTCACAAAACAATCCATACGATTACTGCATTAGCGCCTGGGCATTCGTGCTTCGGCCCCACAGGCAGGAAGTATTAATACACCCCCTCTGCAAGGGGTAGTGCAACCAGACTAAATACACCCATAAGCAACCTATTCTATTCTTGATAGAGACGGCGTTATTTTCCCTTGGCGTGGGCCTCCTGTTCACGCAATGTTTGTTCTGACAACTTCATAATCTTCATACTAGATATATAATCCATGAGTAAGATTCTCTCTCGCTATTGTAAGATTCTGTTTATCCCCTCGATTTTGTACATACCCGCTAACCACCCCTGCCCTCCACTGCCACCTTAACGCCTCCAACATCTCTTCAAATGAAACTCCCCCCATCTTCCATGAACACCTCCAAATCAATCAAAACCTCTCGATCAACCTCCTCTTCTTTATGCACTACTTCCTCATACGCTGCATTCAATTTCGCTAGATAACATTGCCTCAGGATCCATACCCTGAGTGACTCCTCCGTCAATCTCTTACGGGATTTCTTTGGGCGGTTGAATGAAGGAAGAGACAAACTTTTTTTTGGACAACGTTCAATCTCGTCGATCTCCAATGAAAATGCCATTTCACCAAGGGAGGAATTTTCGGCGTGAATTGGGCTAGATGGAACTTCATGGGGGGATGGCTGCTGGAGCTTTCGTATGGTAGGTTCCGATATTAGAGGTGGGGTCTTGGGTGCGGTAGGTAGCCGAGTAGATGGCTTTGTTGGAGACGGCGGCTTGATGGAAGACAATCCAACCCTTCTTTGTGGCGAAAGATGGCCGTGATAAGTTTCCCCACCGCATGGAACGGGAATGCGGGATGGACTGTGGTGGCTTGGGAGTCGCCAGCTGGGCGGAGGCGTAGGAAGACTTGAGGAGCCTAAAGGAGGTGTGAGAAGGATTCGCCCTTCACTGCTTGGCGGGGATTGGGGGATGGGTATTGCTTGATCTAGTCCTGACGATCCCGCATCAGAAACATCTCCCGGCAAATTTAGTGTACTGGTAGTGGACGGGATCGGAGATGGGTTTCGCTGGGAATTTAGTGTCACGGCAGACCCTGCAGAAAATTCGAATGTAAGTTCTGTAAATTTCCACTCAAAGTCAATTTCTCCATGTGAGTTTTCCACCCTTTTGACAAGCTCTTGTGTGGGGTCTTGGTGAGGCGGTGGGACCAGTGACGCCATTGAATGCTCTATAGCTACAAGCTCTTCCTCCCGATTTATTAGATTTTCGGTTGACAACGCACTGGCGTGGGCATGGTCAAAGGTGTCTACGATGCTCCGGCCTCTTATCCAAGGAGGGCGAAGCGGTACCATCGCCATATAATCCGGAGCTTCTCCTCCCCTCAAGGAAGGCCCCCTAGCACCATGCCCCCCGGTTTCTGGAATCTCTCGATAATAACGGTCACGTAATTCCTTGCATCGGAGTAGATTCCTCGATTTGGGCTGAAATAACTCTTTGCCGGGACGGGTTTGGACAATATTCGCCATGGTGGTCCTTGTACCATCGTAAACTGGGTCAATAATAGTCACAAGACGCGGGATACCTGAAGGGGATGTACTTGTCGCACCCTCAATGATGGCATTGCCGGTAGCGAACTGCTGTAATTGCGTGAGGAGTTTGTCATTTTGTAGGCTAGCCGGGGGTTGATTATCAGGGAGAGTTTGAGCTGCCCTTCGTGTATGATGTTGGCGAACGGTAACATAGTCAGTCCCTGTCAGTTCACTAGGCAAGTATAGAAGGCCGGATGAAGTGGCGGAGAGCTCGAAAGGGGGAGGTCTATCAAAGTTCCCTTGTACCGATGGTAGTCCAAGGGAAGAGGGGCTTGCTCTACGTAAGCTGGGTTTGGTGGCCTCAGGAGAAGAGCTTTCGGCCCCTTTGTCGGCGAATGGTAGCCCAAGGAAAGAGGCAATGGACCTAGGTAGGCCGGGGTTGGAGGACCCGGAAGAACTGCCTTCACTATCTTGGTCGGCTGTAAGGTCTCTTTGGACAACGTAATCCCTGGATCTTGAAGATGCATTAGGTTCCGATTGACATGCTGTTGCCGGAGCAAGATGATTGGTTTGAGCAGGTGTTTCTTGGTTTGGCAATTCGCGGATTATAGGATCAGATACTGTGCGGGAAAAGGCAATCGTATTCACGTTGCTACGACGCCTGGTGGACGAGTAGCTTTCCCAGACAGAGGCATCAAAATTTCTTGACCTGGTACCAGGTGAGTTTGTCTTGGTCCTGGTATATGAGTGCCTTTCCCAGGCGGAGGCTTCAAAGCTACTCGGTGGCGTAGGTAGTGAATCATTTGGTATGACCAAACTTGGACCTCCAGACCCACGGTAATCTATTACTTGGGGTGGGATACGGGCATGCCCTCGCTCAGTCCTTGAATTGCGGCTGAAGCCTATCACCAATGGAGGATGGAACGCTAACCCCAGTCGATCATTATAACCATCATGGGAATTCTCGAGGAAGCGGGGTACGCCAAGCTGACCTGGAGGATATTGAGTTATCGGGTTGATGATGTTTACATGACAGGTATCAGGTTCTTGATGGGGGCGAGGGTTCATAAGCTGCCGCTGAGGAAATTGGTTTGCTCGGACCCGGTCATGGATATGATCCTTCGTGAGTGAGTTGCATGCGCTAGAGGAGAAATACGACACAATTTCTCCGTAAGACGGAGTTTCTAATGGACAATCCCCGGCCTTCTCCAGTTGGGGGTGTTGTTAGCTGCAATCGCAGCCGGTGGAGGATCCGAAGGTACGAGGCCACTATGAGGGGCCACCGTCTGGAGCAATTCTTGCTCATTGAGACTTGATCTTGCAATAGCGGTAGGAGGGATACGGGAATCGTGGTTGTACAGAAACAGAGGGGCATGATGCATGGTAGATGGCGGAAGTGCTGGATGTCGAGGCCGTTGACGCGGGGCTCGTGGCCCATATCTTGCACGACTCCCCACCCCTAGCTGTTGGAGTAGATTCCGATGTCTGAGGCTTCTCAGCATCAGAGATCCGGTGGCAAGCTCCGCCTCCGGTACAAGGACTCTTTCCTCCTTTGAAATGTCGCATGAACTCTGCTCTTCTAAGTCATTCCCAACTTTGTTTTCGAAACCCTCTTCCTTCTTTACATCTGCTAGTGGGCCGATGGCTCTATCCGTAATAGGTGGTTGTCTCTGCCGTGGGTAATCACCAAGCATATGACCTGCCCGGCGTGACTCGAGCTGCTGCGACGCAGGCCGTTTACTAGTTTCTACAATAATCAGCTGTGTCCATCACAACGATAAGTCATGAAGGCATACTTACCCTGTTCTTTAGGATTGTAAGCCTCAACCGTAGGGACGAAGTACGAGAACATCACGACCCCTGCTGCAAGGGCAAGGAGAATATCCATTTTTGAGATATTGGCAGTTATGCGTCGCAGGGACATGAAAGTAAGCCTGTTGCAGATTATGAGGTAGTGCTCGAGGATGGACTTGATATGAGGAGGAATGATACCGTGTAAGCTCAGAATTGGGGATCGTGGATAGGCTCAAGAGAACCAGCTGTAGTTACCTGCACTCGTGACTTATGTGTATGATACGATCGATGGCTTAGAAGGAGGGCACGGGACACGGATGGATGCCAAGCCTAATAGGGCAGTGGGTGTATAAAAGTATCCACACGATCGACGGCATTAGGCCTTCACCACCCCAGACATCGAAACAACATCATCGAAACAATACCGAGACAACATCGGCGGAGCTCTCTGCTGCGGACTCCCAATCACATGACTCTTTCTCTTGCCTGATGATCTCAGAATTCTAATAAGAGAGTAATAAATAAATGAGCTCTGGCTGCTGTTTGGCTCATCCAGGAGGACATGGAAGTTATGCATTTCAGCCAAAAAGAGTCCTCCCCCCTCCCGCGTGGGGACTGCGAAGGCCTAACACGAATGTCGACACTTTATGCAGTCACTACAGACTTCAGTCAGAGGAACTATGACTGTCAGGTGATGGCACCGTGTACCAAAGGTTTGAGCCATTGCTGAGAGTAGTCTGGGGTGGAACTTCGATTGAACCAAGTCTACGCATCTCAGCTAACATAACTTGCGTAATACTTTGTAGATGAGGGTCTATCGGAACTAGTCTCGTGCCATCGGAACTCCATCTCGCCTTGTCTCTTGCAGCCAGGGCATGCATCCTATCCCCCGAACGGAAGGACACAGAAAAAAGTGCAAAAAGTAAAATACCGGCACCTGGATTCGAACCAAGATCCCCACACCGCTGAGGTGCACGTCTAATTCTAGACTCTGGTATGTTACCAATTACACTACACCGGCTGCTTGTATGCGGGAAGGAATGAAGTCCTTACCAACCAACAGCAGATATCCACAGTTACAAGAAGAGGCTTGTCACTGAAAGGGGTTATTGAAGTGTGAAGTCTACCGTTTCGAGGACCTCAGTGAGATTTAAGGCTTCCGTGATAATCATGGCTTGTTCCATGACTACTGCAGTAGATATTTGCTTGCGCATGGATTTAGGGCTCTCGACTTGGAGTACCCAAATAGTGCTGATCAATCTCTGCCGAAGTTAAATAAGCTTTATGGCGCAGGCGTAACGGCTTGGTTGCCCTTTTGTTTTCCTCCCAAATTACTCCTGAGTCACCACACGAACTGTAGTTCACAGAACGTGCCTGGACTCACTCAACTCGAGACCAGGCAGTCAACAACTGAGGACCCCAGGCGTTGCGGACTCTTGCATGCACAGCGATTCATCTCTGGAAATCATCTTTCGTATGTTCACACTCACTCCAGTGCCCTTCAACATTTGCACCTACAATTGCATTGTACCTAGTTACTTACCCACCTAGGTCGAGAAATCCTTGGAAAAGCAGTTCACGAAGTTCCTCTAGCCTCGTGGTACTAGCATCCGATTCCCCACCACCACACCTCACCAATTGGCTTCGCTGCCTCGGGCACATTCTGTTCATAGTTGTCCCGGGTGAGGCTTTTTAAAACGAAACACAGCAAAAACCCAGACAACATGCAACGGTCACAGTTACCTCTTCCACGGCGTCACCCAAATGTATATGGCTGCAGCTGCCACAAGCCCGCAACCAGCAGTCGATCCAAACTCCTCTTCCGCCGGGGCCACCTTCCCCCCTGTGCGACCCCCAGCACCCCCGCCGATGCACCCCCCACTCCAGGCTCTGGCCCCATTGCAACCGCAACGCATGCCAGCAGTACACAAGCCAAAGTACAAGGCTGTGCCTTTCACAGGTCGGGACCACTTGGGACCTGATGCGCGCCATGCCCAGAGGCATACACAACTGGCACCACTGCCATTCTATCCACGACTCGGTCACATTGAGAGGGCATCCCAGTAAGCATTGTCTTCCCCAGGGCCTATTTTGGCAATCATTTTCCTCGTAGTAGTAACATACCACTTAGTAACGCAAACAATCTTCAACAACGTGGCATGCCCCAGCATCCGGGGCGCAGGATGCTAGCCACGGAGGCAAATTCAATCCAACATTTCTCCCGCCAAACCCGCAGAAGTGCGTTCTTTCAACGGCAGGTTCAACGAAGAGCGGAGATAGAGAGGTTGGCAGCTGAGCGTCTACAGCGTGATATGCAAGATGGTGCGTCAGATGAGGAGAGATACTGGAAAGGAGGAGTGCAGAATCTGGCAAGGAAACAGGTGATCCCGAATATGCAAGAGCTCGAGCAACTTTCATCGCATCTCAGACTTTCGTGCGAAAAGGTGTGGAAGTGGTTGGAGAGCGTGAAAGATGAATGAATCATGCTTTGGTATTAGGGTATAGGGGGTGTGGGGGATAGCGTGTTGGAAATATGGTTTAGCTCCCCCCAAAAAAAAAAATGGCGTAGCCAAGGGAAGGAAATTGGGCTAAGGGAAGGAAATAAAGCAAAGGGAAGGTGGAAAAAAATAGGTCAAAGGGAAATTTTTTTTAATAAATCATTACTCGTATTCAGATTGATTTAACCTATGACGAGAGACTGCATCCCCGGCTCAACTCCTCATGGCCCCCCTAATGGGGCCGCATAGGAGTCATAATTATTAAAAAAAAAAAAAATCCGGCTCAAGTCCGGTAGATCCTCTAACCCCAAGGTCTCACCTCCATAGGAGAAAGTCTACGTTACATACAGAAGTAAAGAAAAGGCCTTTTATTCCCCTTAGCCAGCCTCCCCCCTCCCGTCATGCAGCGTCTCCCACACCTTCTCGCACCACTTCTCTCATCTCCCTAAGCATACGCTGTACCATACCTTATATACAGCAGTACATACTTAGCAGCTGCAGCTGTACCCTTCCCATCCCCAATCCACACACATTTCCAGCAGTGCGTTCTGGATGCTGCCGCATAGGGATCCTCCGCCCTCCCGATCATGTTTGTCCAGCTCTCTGTGGATCCCGATCCGTAACTATGTAAGCCAACCCCTTGATTGATCTGTTGGTCCATATCGCGTGTGTGTTTTGGTGAAGCCTGAAGGCCTGACGAATCCCAGCCGGTAGGCCGTAGCATTCCTTTGCCTATCCATGCTGTCCTTCTCGGCCTCTAACTTACCTCATCCCCCGCCAGACCTAGGTACGTGCCCGGCAGCCTTTTTCCCTTCTAAGACTACCGGCTCTGTATCGACCCTCGCTTGCTTTTGAACTCCTCCGTACGGGCTGGGGATCTCAGAAAGAATGAGTAACCCCTTTAACTGTTATTTTATTTTATTTTTTTAAATACTTGTTACTCCTATGCGGCCCCATCAGGGGGTCATGAGGACCCGGGTGTTAACTGTTAGTCGGGCTTCCCCTTTGTACCCTCAACCTCAGTTCGCATACACAAAGTGCTACCTGGAGACAGGTGCCCGCATCCATACTATCGGGCCCAGGGGTATATCACTCAGCCCTGACCACTGCTCGGCAACTCACTTTGCAGTAACCACTGTCCATCGTGAAGGCCATGCTTAACAACCCTAACACAGTAGTGAGGAGTCACAGGCTAAACGCGGGTCCGGTCGATGGACATTTCGCGATAATGTGGGCTGACGGCACCTCACATCATAAAACTCGATACCTCCTACACTCGAGTGTCACCTATAAATATCAATCCAACGTGTATTGATCACTTTTTTTTTTTTTTTTTTAAATACTCAGTACTCCTATGCAGCCCCGTAGGGGGCTATGAGGAGCCACGCGGAAGCCCGGTGGATTCAAGGGTAAGGCAAGTTAATCTGCCAGACCCGCGCAAACTAGATACAATAAAAGGAAAAAGAGAGGCTGCCCCGTGCTGTCACTAACGGACTTAGCCGATGACTCGAAAGCCTGACTGAGCTCGCCTCCTGGACCGGCTGTGAAACTATGAATATATGTGACTGAAATCAGAACTGTAGACAAAGGGGACTCGTAATAAACAAAAATTAAGCTGTGTACTAAGTGAGCTCTCGGAATAAGAGCCCGAAAAAAGCCTCCGTGGCCTCATACATTTCCTCCCCCTCCTTTCTCCATTCCGGTTTGTCGAGATCCTCCCAGTTGCTTTTTTCCCCCAATAGTGTTCTCCGGTAATGGTCGAAGCGTGGGCACTCGAAGACGATATGCTCGCCTGTCTCGGTGGGATGTCCGCATGCGCATACTGCTGAGTCTGCTTTACCGATATGGTGGAGCCAGCTTTTCTGAGGACCTCTATTCGATAGTAGCCAAGTGTAGGCTGAAAGGGCTTGGCGGTTCCATTCCGTCCTTCTCATACCATGTCCTGCTCTGGTTCTCGCTTCCTTCCTCACGGCTTTAGAGGACGCCCGGAGACCCCCTTCTGTAACTATCCGTTCTTGGCCTGTGAATTCCCCCAAATGCGACTGGAGGTTTGCGGTCCGGTCTGTGTATTGATCACTCCTCATCTCCAGATCCGAAAAGTTGGATCCATCAGGCTCATAGCACGATGCTTCTTTTCCTGATGCTAAACGCACTTATTAAACCATGGATTCTCGCTCAACGAGACTCAGAACCGGCATACAGACTTTCATGAGGTTTACACACCCTGAGCAACCCCCCGCTCATATTGCTTAAAGCTGTTCCCCTCGAAATCCTTCTCCCGAGGAACTCGATCTTGACGGGCGTCGGGAATAGGGAAAGGAATAAGGAAGGGAATAGGGCATAGGGAAGGAAATTGGACAAAGGGACGGGAATAGGGCAGGGCGGCATAGGAAGGGAAAGGGCATAGGGAAGGGAAATAGGACACAGCGAATGGAATAGGGCATAGGGAAGGAAATAGGGAAGGAAATAGAGAAGGAATTAGGGCATAGGACATGAGGCATAGGGAAGATAGGGAGGGGATAGGGTATAGGCAATAGGGCATAGGGAAGGAAATTGGACAAGGGACGGAATAGGGGCAGGGCGGCATAGGAAGGGAAAGGGCATAGGGAAGGGAAATAGGACACAGCGAATGGAATAGGGCATAGGGAAGGAAATAGGGAAGGAAATAGAGAAGGAATTAGGGCATAGGACATGAGGCATAGGGAAGATAGGGGAGGGGGATAGGGTATAGGCAATAGGGCATAGGGGCGTATGGAATCTAGAGGAGGGCCTGCAATCTGTGTAGCTAATTAGCTAATTATTTGAGGAACTGAGTACTGTTGAATTGAAAGGTTGATGGCAGAGACGTGATCAAGGATTAGTATCTAGCACGGGTTGGAAGAAATGACTAGCTTTTTTGCTCTCGTGTCTAGCTAGGCTTTGTACATCTACGGTGTTCGGTGAGTTGCGGCAGGCAGCTGCCTATACATACATAGAGCTGCGTGCTGACATCGAGTGGCTTCCCTTCTGCTGGTCGCTAGATCTCTTTCCCACTGATAAGCTCTTCCTCTTGTCTCGTCATAGCTCTCAATTCAACTCCTATGGACCTCCGAAATTTGCGGCAGGCTGGACAACTGAGGGTAACCCTATCAAGCCGTCACGGTGAGGAGCGCTTGGGGATCATAAGGCCGATGGGAAACACCCCTACAGTATCAAAATCAATCTCAAAGGTTCATTTTTGAACAGTCTGAAATCAGGATTAAGGTAAGCCAGCGGTCGCTTGTATATACGTTCCGCCCCCCCTCGAGTATGAGAAAAATGAGGCTTGGTGAGCTCATTACCCTGAACTTGACATATGGCCTGTTCACCGGATGCTTAACTTGTCAATATGCAACTGTGAGTACCTTGCACGAGAGCACGGCATGCCTCAGACTCGCTTACCACAGGCAGTACCTATGCTTACCACTCAAGATGCTTCCGACATATGGTGAGCTCGGATCTCAGGGGTATTGCCACTTTATGTGCGTTTGCA